TGGCTTGCTTTGGTGTGACGCCATTGAAATGTGAACACCATTTGGCTGCATAGAAAATGAGATACAGTTAGTTAAATTTACTTGGATATTATAAAATAATATGAAAGTTTTAATCGTTACCTCTTTGATAGCCGTCAAAGTCCTTGAAGCACTGCCGATGCTATCAGTAATCTCGACTATACCCAAATTAGCATCTCCTTGTTTGTTTGAATATGGCTTCACTCGTTTGAAGTTTTGATCTTCATGACTATCGCTCTCATTTTGGGGCGGACGTTTGTTGGAGGTAGGAACAATGGTGCCTAATGGAAAGGAACCCCTATTGGCTTGATAAGCCTTAACAGGTCATTTCTTCTTTTGAACTTCTTTATATGGAGGTCCCCTGACCTCGAATGATACAACCACTTTGGATTTTAAAGTAGGAGGCTTGTCCTCCCTGTTATGCTCTTGAGGCGTGATCTCTAAAGGCGTAGCAGTAACTGGCCGAGCGGTATTCACCAAATATTGCAAGTGGTTTTCAAGGAAGTTCCCATGCACTCTTTCCCAACAAGACTTATAATCGGACGAGACATACTTCTTCATCTTGGGCATAATAGGGGAAAATGTGGCCTTTGACCTACTTTTAGAAAAAACACAAATTCGTAAAAGTTCCAATCCTTTGTCTAAAGAGCACTCACAAAATTCTTGATCCAAGAAATCGGGGATGACTTGATAAAAACTGAATTGACGACTGAAGCGATGAGGGCTATAAGGCTCCATGATGAAGGTCGATCCATTTCTCAAAGGAAGGTAATTCGAGCAAATACTCATAAAATAATTTGACTCGGATTCTTGCTCATTGCCATCATCACGATAATAATACGGTTGAGAATTACTTGGCATTGTGGAAGTCCATGCGACACTTTCTCCTCCAAGAATACGTTTTCTCGCGTCTTCATTCCCAAAGTATCTAGTTGTTCCCTCACCTGAGTATATGGCCATCAGAGGAGTAGCCAGCCTATTTGTTAGAGAAAAATAAGTCTTGAAGTAACAGGCCAACCAACCATACACATAATGAATTGGGAAGTAAACTCTAGAAGGATCGCGTGGTGAGCCGTTTGAAATTGTGTTTAATCCCCTGTAAATGCTAGCTAAAACTGGAACGGCGAGGTTAATTCTTTGCCCACACGCTAGAAGGTCTGCAATCTTGAAAGTCTCGGGCCCAATAAAGTTGCCTTCTTTTGTAGGGAGAAGAAAGACACATAACCAGCATGATAAAAAAATAGCCAAGTATACTTCGTCTTTCTTGTCACTTCGACGCCAAGTTTAACAAATAGTGCATCTTCAACTTCCGACCAATTGACCATTTTACCTATGGCTCCAGTAGGGTTGTGTGTTGATTTGGGACGAGCTGACTTCTTTTCTTTTCTCGCCGGAGGTTGTTTATACTTTAAAACCTTTTTGCTCCAAAACTCGATCCATCTTCTTACAGGGACGTTATGATTTTTAGCGTTTCCCTCTCGGAGTTGGTGATATGCATCAAATAATTGCTGACAGGCTTGTGGAAGGAATATTTTATCCTTGTCGTAAGCACCTGTAAGTTCTCGAGTATTTGGAATAACTTCCTCATAAGGAGACCCCATTAAAGGCAGACCCCCAATAGTACACAAATCTCTCAGGGATATGGATAAATCTCTAACTGAGGTAAGCAACATATTTGTAAGAGGACACCAAGCCTCACAAAAGGCTTGCATGATACTTGTACAATGATCATAAGTAAATAATGAGGCATAGACAACATCGTAAATATTGGTGGCCCTCAATGCTCGATGGTTCCTACTAAGAATATCTTCGCTCCACTCCCAATAACCGGGGATATAATGAAAATCGCCACCAAAAGTTAAGGAATCACTCCAGTATACTTCTCCTTTGAGGATTCGTCGTCCTAAGCATGGGAGGGAATTTGCCACATTTTTAACTTTGTGATTATGGGAACGAAGAGTCCATGTCTTGAATTTACGTTTGGTATTTTCAAAGGTCCAATCTACTAAACGAAATGGATTTTGCAAGGATGGCCACGAAGTTGCATATAAGCCGGTCAGTGGTGTATCAACTAGTAATCTGGTCTCCGTTTTACTATCTTTGTGCTATGAAATTATAAGATACTTGGACGTGGAGGAAGAGGATGCTGAGTCTCTAAAGTAAACCATGTTCAAGTTGCATAAAAAAAGAAAAGAAAAAAATAATTGTTAGTACCTAAGTCAAAAAGGAAGAGTAACAATCACAATCTTGAAAGAGAGCATGGATAAAAACAAAAAAAAATTGCCTCAGACAAAAAAACAAGAAAAAAGAAAAAAAAAGGATGTTTGTTACGGACTTTTTTTAAAGGTTTTCGCTGCGAACTTTTAAAGGTGTTCGTCTCGAACTTTTAAAGGCATTCGAATTTTTAAAAGTATTCGTTGCGAACTTCTAAAGGTGTTCGTCTCGAACTTTTAAAGGTATTCGGATTTTTAAGGTTTTCGTTCCGAACTTTTAAAAGGCGTATGTTTCGAACGTTTAAAGGTGCTCGTATTGAAATTTTAAAGGTCTTCACCACAAACTTTTAAAGGCCTTTACCGCGAACTTTTAAAGGTCTTCATTATGAACTTTTAGAGATCTCGACCATGAGTCGCTACAAATTTTAAGGTCTTTATCACGAACTTTTAAAGGTCTCCACCGCGAACTTTTAAAGGTCTTCGCCGCGAACTTTTAAAGGTCTTGACCACGAGCTTTTAAGGATCTTCACGCGAACTTTTATAAGCCTTCTCCGTAAATTTTAAAGGTCTTCGTTTCAAACTTTTAAAGTAATTTGTAGTTCGACAAAATTACTACTAAAAAAAGAAGAGAAGACAACAAAGTAAAAGAAAAAAGGGAGGAAAAAGCACAAAAAATTACCTTCGCGTTAATAATTCCGAGTCCAAAAAATAAAAGTTGCTTGCAAATACTTAGAACTGATGCTCACAAGTTGGAGAGTACGCACCCTTTATATAGATTTCTCAAGGCAGCAATTGAGAATAAAGTCCCGATGTGGGATTATCAACTTAAGGCGGCTGGAACAAACTGTGTTCAACACGGACTCGGTGTCCATCTTCAAATAGGAATGGAATATACATGGATTACGTCGTCACTGGCAGAATAAGTTTCAAAACTGAGATTCCATAATAAATCATGGAAAAAGATCCTAATATAACTATGTTTGAGTCTAAAGCAATGTAAATGAATTGCAAATTGAATGACGTGGACACATGAATGAAACCATGTGAATTCAACTTATCCTAGCCTAAATGACGTGGACACATGAATGAAACCATGTGAATTCAACTTATCCTAGCCTAATCACTACTGTTGGACAAATGTATATTCCCAGTGTATTATATACGCACATAAAGGATATGTGTGTTTTATGTATGTTATACTTCAAAACTCGTCATGGGGTAAGTGATTTCATATTCCGACAAGATTTGAAGTAGGAGGCATTTGTAGGCATATAAATTTTATTAAAATAAAATCCATGAAATATTTTGAACTATATTTTAAATTCAAGATATATTGGTCCAAATAAATATATGGGCTAATATAATTGAATTAATTGTATAAGTCCAACATAAATAAATTAAATAAATAAGTCTTAATCCATTGTGTTAACTCATTTAATTGGGCTAAAGTGATGAGCCCACTTCATTAAGCCCAAAATGTCATCCTCACGGAGGCCCAGTTTGGTGCCACGTGTAAAATGACGTTGCGCGCCAAATCAAACGGAAGAGCCAATAGTATCATGCCACGTGTCAAAATGACAAGGCATGCCAAATCACATTAAAAGGTCAATAAAATCGCGCCACGTGTGCAAGTGATATGTTCTGGCCAATCAAATGCGGCCTTGTCATACTTCAATTTGATTGGTCGGAAAGAGTTTGTTCTTATCATAACTCTTCTCTCCTACAACTATAAATAGAGGTCTTCATAACCCAGAAAAGACACCAGAAGTTATAACAAGAAGCAAGAGGGAGCTCGTGGATCAAACGCTGTAGATTTCTCTAAAAGCTACAATCATTCAAGTGTTCTAAGGATTAAAAGATCAAGGCGAGGATTCAAGAACAAGCTGCAAGCCTTTGGATTAAAAATACGTCAAGATCAAGATTAGGCCTCAAGCACTTGGATTAAAATAAATTAAAATTCAAAATTAAGCTCTAAGGCTCTTTTATTTACTGTTGAAAAGAAGAATTAGAGGATTCATAGAGATTGTAAACTCAAATTACTTGAAATCGAATACTACGATTGTTGCAATATTTTTCGGTCTCGATCTTATTTTCTCGACGTAATTTATTGTCTACACTTACCTTTTCACATAATAATTTTATCTCGTACCTAAATTATTTTATAATATTATAAGTTTATTCTTTATTTTATTAGTAGATAATATCGTAAACGAAAACTAATAATATATTTTATCTTAATATTATATACATCAAAAAATATAATACAATAATATACAATATCATACCATACAATACATAACAAACGTTCAAACAAGCTGTACACACTGTGACAAAAAAACAAAATCACTATGACCTTCTATCTAGAGATTAGGAATATACTAGGAGATGAGAACAGTATTTCAATCGCTTTCCATTTTTGGGTCTCCTATTGTGGAGTATTGCCAAGAAATTAGTTGTCAAGAAATCACTTTTCAAAAATCATTTGTTTGCGTCTCTCTCTTTATTCCCACTGTTCCTTCCGAATTTTTAGCCCTTTTACAAAAAATCCACATGCTTCTTCACTCAACTTGATCTATTTCCATCTTCATTCCCTTCTCTATCTCTGCCCTTTGTTTTTACTAACCCTTTCCCCTCCACTTTAACTCTTAGTTTCAGTTCTGTTTTGGGGCAGTTCATTTTTTCACTATTTCCCCAAATTGAAATTCTTCTACCCCCTTTATCTTGCTCGCATCGCAACTGGGTATGTTCTACTTTTAGCTAATTCTTTTGTTATCTTTAAAGATTCAATTTTTAAACTGTATTTATTAAATTCTCTTTTGGGTGTCTTCATTCTTTGCTGGTTCTCTTTGATTTTTCTGTTCATTTTTTGCTTATTTTTTTTTTTTTTACTGAGATTCCAATTGTTATTAGTGGGCTTTAGCATTTGGTGTTCTACATTGATTATAATTGGTGTGAATTTTTTATTCTGCTGTCACTATCTTAGGGTGATAGTTTCATTGGATCTCTTGATTTCTTACAACAATAGCTATGACTCAATCTCAAACTAGTTGGTGTCAACTATACGAATCTTCAAGGCCAAATACATAGATAGCCCCTTAAACTTGACACTATTTTTCATTTAGACGCCTCAACTAAGACTTTCTCCTATTGGGCACCTTAACTCTATATAAAATGTGTCTATTAAACACAAATTTGACAACTCCAAACCAACATTGCTGCGTGAACTTCACCTTCCTTTGAGGTGACACTAGACCAATAAAAAAGTTACATGTCAGCAAACCAAACAACCAATTTTTTTTTAAAAATAATCTGACCCAGAAATAAGAAAGACAGAAGGACATGGTGATCGGAGGTGATGACCAAACTAGAATAAGAAAAAGGGGAGATGGTGGTTGCAGTATGGCAGGCAGACCTGAAGAAACAGGAGGAGGTAATGGTGGTGGTGGTCGGATCTGAAGGAGGAGAAAGTGGCGGTGATTGTGTGGTGGCATTGGCCGAATCTAATGTCTAAAGAAGATGGTGGTGACCAGCCGGATCTGAAAAAGGGAGAGGGAGTCAGTGGTGATGTTAGTGGTCGGATTTAAAGGAGGAGGAGGTGGCGGTGATGGCAGCAGCCGATTCTGAAGGAGGAAGAGGTGGTGACTATGGTGATCGCCGGCCAAATCTGAAAAAAGTAGTGAAACTCTTTAAATATAGAAGGAACATGAAGGAAATTGGGACCTTAGTTCGTTGATATATGCTGCATGAACTTCCACCAGAAGTATTATCGTAAGGATTAAGAGTTCAGTCTTTATTAGTTTAGCTGAAAATTAATTTGCCGGCAAAAACATTGAATTTTCCGTCGAGCAACTTACAGGGTACACTCTTCACACGCCTATAAGATGTGACATACACGTGCTTTTACATGTCAGCAAAATGTGTTAAATAGACACATTTTATATAGAGTTAAGGTGCCCAATAGGAACAAGTCTTAGTTGAAGTGTCTAAATAAAAATTAATGCCAAGTTTAAGGGGCTGTTTATGTAATTAGCCAATCTTCAATAACCATTCTGCGCCATTCGGAATGAATATGGCCTAAACTAAGTGGTAATAGTTATTAAGGAGTCATATAGCCGATCCCAGACTGTATTATGAATCAAGAGAAACTAATGGCACTACTGTCTCTGAGAAATCAAAGTAGACCCGAATTAGTTCTTGAAATACTCCCTCTGTCTCATTTTATGTGGTACATTTTTCCTTTTTGGTTTGTCCAAAAAAAAGAACAACACCTTTCTTTATTTAAGAACAATTAACTTTAAACTTACCATTTTACCCTTACTGAGATGATTTCTTTCTTTCTTTGTTAAACGTCATGCTCGGTCAAACACCGCCACATAAATTGGATGGAGGGAGTGATTGATTTACTTCTTTTTTCTGATCAGTAAGTTCTTTGTTTACTTTCTGTTTGTTTAAACCTTGATTTAGGGGCAATGTCACAAGGCTACGCCATTGAGTTGTACTTTGACCCTGCGCTGGAAAACCAGGTCCTGAAGGCATGGAATGTATTGGCTCGGCGCCAGATTAGCACTCAGCTTATTGAGATTGAGTCTAGGCCTCACATAACTCTCTTCTCCAGTTCGCTTTTTGATCCTCTAAAACTTGAGAACATTGTAAAGAATTTTGCTGCCAAGCAAGAACCTCTGCCATTGTCCTTTGGTTCAATTGGAAGCCTCCCTAGTGACAGTGATACTCTGTTTCTTGCTCCAACTCCAACTTTGTCTCTCCTTCAGTTCCATTTGCAGTTGTTTGATGCAATGAAAAAGGAGGGAATTGAAATGGGGGAGCAGTATCGTCCTGACACATGGATTCCTTATTGTGCGGTAGCTGAAGAAGTGCCAACAACTCGTATGGGCGAGGCATTCACAGTTCTGAGGGATTTGAAATTGCCTGTTGCTGGGTATGCAACGGATATTGCACTTGTCGAGTATCCTCCACTTTGTGAAGTGTTCTCATTCGTGCTTGGTAATGCAATTGAACTGTGAAGCTTTAGACGTAATTCTGATGATTTAGTTTAGGCTTTATCTTTTGGATTCCTCTATATTGCTGCTGTAGAAACTAATAAACATGGTTGAAGTGCCGTTATAGTATCAAAAATCATCTTTTCTTTTCTCTGGATATTAGAGTCATATCCGATATTTTGTTCTTGCTTGTAGTTGCAATTGAGAGTTTTCCTAATGTGAGTTCCAGTGCTTACATGCTCATCTTTTTGCATGCAGTAGTAATTCCGTGTATGATGCTGTACCCATTGTACTATAGGAACGTTAAGCACTTGAGCCTTTTACCTTGAAAGTCTTGAATATATGTTTTAGGTATTGAATATTGTGGTCTCCTTTTTTCTTTTTTCTTTCTGAAAGCTTTCTTGTGCGTTTTAAATTCAACAAGATTGAGTCAGGTGTGAGGAAAACAAACTCAGAAGTGACTTAATTGGTGTTTAAATAAGTGGGAGCAAATAAAAACTAGCCAAGATATGAGTTGACTTCACTCCTAAAGTGCTTAGGATAGTGTGACATAACAATTGTGCTTCGCAGATTTTGGGCTGATGGAGTGTCTTTCTTGATGGTGATACAATAGTTAATTTTCAGATGTCCTCTTAAAAACTCTAACAAACACCCAATTCCATTATGTGTAGCATTAAGTTAACTTCTTTTGCATCGAACTAGATGTAAGGAACTTAGGATAGATGCCGTTAAGAAGAAGGTAATGCAGATTTGTATCCTTTGCTTGCTAGATAACCTGGATTTTTATCCTTTGCTTGCTAGGAGTCTTTTAGTCAGGCTTATATGTCGTAAACAGTAGAAAGAACTTCTAGTGCTTTTTATTTTTTTACTTTTTGTCCTATATAATATTAGATTGAGATGAGTTTAAATTCAGGGACATGAATAGTGATGATTCATATAGTCGACCCTGACTTACTTGGGGTTGAGGTGTAGTAGTTGGTGTTGTTATAACGAGTACTCACTTCTAGGTTAGGAGACAATTGGATTGGCACACAATTTTGGTTTTGTTAATGGAGAATACCTTATGGAGTTGATTTTCGAAAACATTAGATATGAAGGTGTATTCAGATTTGAATATACATATATATATATGCTGCACTTTGATATATATATATATATATATATATATATATATATGCATGTGTATGTGCATGCATGTATTGTATCTATGTATAATATATGAGACTATCTAATTAATTTCTATCACATTTTTGGTGCTTTAGCTTGTGCAATTGATAAAGGCAACTAGTTTTGCTTAAACATTAGCTGGATGTTGCTTATGTTGCAACTGCTACTGTTATGTGATCATGACAAATCTGAGGGGGCATATGATATGATGGTAATTTTCCGCGGCAAGATTTTTGGTGTCCACTTCTTTTCGATTTTGAGCTGCCATATTGTCTTTTGAAAGAAATGGATTGCTGTTTGCAACTTGCTAGTGATCAACTTTATGCTGCACTTTGATGATATTGGTGTGGCCTAGATGCACGTCTGAGTTCATGCTTTTAGCCTTTTGCTTATTTTGTTTTAGAAACTGATTGTTGAGGTCAGGCTTCCTTCGATTTTGCTGCTTGAAAGCATTCATGACATATTTGATAAGGGGCTTACAGTTTTATAGTCAAATGAAAAAAGAGGTTCATTTCTAACTCTTAAGCTACAGAATTTTGTGGAATTAATGTTTAACCAAAGAATTAGATTCTCAGTCAAAGCCTATTTTTAGAAGTACTCGGGTTACTGATAATCAAGAAATTTAATATTCTCTCAAATATAAGAAAGGAAATCGGAATCAGAAATGGCAAAGTAATCAATAGAAAGCACAAGAAAATAATTATATTCCAAGTCCTCACAAGTAAAATTTCCTTCCTTTATATAGGAATTTACAAATATAACGTTTCTTCCCTTTTATGACAGAATTATTATGAGCATTAATGACATTAATGAAACGTTATAATTGGCAACCGTAACTGTTCATGAAGATTCTGTAACGGTTTCGATTCTTCTTTCACATTAATTTGAGGTTCATGAATCTTCCCTCTTTACTGTCTTGATTCATCCTGCCTGTGTCTCTTCACTGAATAATTTAGGCTCGGGCAACCGTACCTTTTCGTCTCGTGAGTGATTTGCTCGTATCTGTTGTAAATCGCGATTCTTTTAATGCGACACTCCAGTTGTCATCTTCTTAGTAATCCACGTATCTTGCCCTGTCATCCTCATATAATTTCACGTGTAATATTTATTTTTTACCAATACAGATAGTCCCCCCACTTGCCGAATATTCTGCAATGGAATTTTTTGGGAAGTGGCACGTATTTATGGCGGGAATTATTAACCGCCGTTTCCCATATATCATTGCATATTCTTCAAAACCATCGCTTCGCATGTCACTTCCATTTAATGTATGTGCTACGTGGCCTTCGTCGATTGGGTCTACGATGCTTCAGCGGGTTTTAAGGCTTTCTTACGGCTGCATCATTCACTTTTAGTTTCAAAAAAACCTTCAATCTACGGTGTTCTTCTTCTTTAATCGTTCTTGTTCTTTAACATGCATTATTTTCTTGTATAACCATGTCTTCATCAAACCCCGATCCTCGCAGAGTAGTAAGTGTAGATGAACTTCCTCTTTCAACTGCTCATGTTAGGAGTAGAAGAGGCGGTAGATTACGTAGTTTAGGATCTATATCCATTCGTGGTTTTACTTCTCAAACTAACGTTGCCACCCCTTCTTCTTCTAGAACTAGGGCTTCTTCAACTCATTGATCTTCTGCTAGAAATAGGGATTCGAGTGAACCTATTCAAGAACCAACTGTTGATGAAATTATTCCTGCAAAATTTTCTTTCTCTACTGATCGTGAATCAATTAGAAATTTAAGTTACTTCTATGACTTCCCATGATCGTGCCGATGTTTATCCTTCCCAGATTACTGAGGGTTTGATTTCTCTTGTGCGAAGAGAATGCCATTGGAAATTTGACTTTCCAATTTTAGTTCCTGGTCCAAACCAAAGGATTACTTCGTTTCAAGCTGGTTACTCTTTCGTTTACACATATCCTTTAACGTTAGGTTTTAGACCACCTATTGACCCAACTATCATAGAATTTTGCCGTTTCTCTAACGTTTGCTTAGGACAGATTGATCCTATTGTATGGAGAGCTGTTGCATGTTTAAGATACCTGGCTAATTCAGCCTCTTTACCCTTCATCTTTCAACACTTGGTTCATTTTTATTCCCCTAAGTTATTTCGTTTAGGGGTGTTTACTCTCGTGGCTAGGAGTAAAAGGGTTTTGGTTAGCCCTGAAGATGATAAAGATCGTGGCTGGTATGCCCGTTTTGTTGCTGCTCCCACAAGTGATTTAGTGGGTGAAGAGAACATGCCTTTTCCAGAAAAATAAAACTTTGCATGTAAGTTTTTTTTTTTAGATATCTTTCTTCTCTTTTATGAAGGAAGAAGAAACTTACGATCCCGTGGCTGTTTTTTTTTTTCTTTTTAGCAACCATATAAGTTGTTGAAGAAATACCAGACTTCCGTGCTTGGGTAGAAAAATTATTGTCGGTTGCTCCTATGGAAGGAAGGTCTTGGAAATACCTTTCTCATAGGTTTGGTTGGAAAGTTAAAACTCATGGTATGCTCCCCTTTAACTTTCTACCTTTCTTTCATATTTATTTGGAGATTTACTAACTTCTTCTTCTGCTAGGGTTTCCCATACGGGGTGTTAGTGCTGCGTCTATTACTTTATCAAGACTTTCTTTGTCCATGGCTCAAGAGATGATTTTGAGTTCTTCATCAAAGAGAAAAGCAGAGAGAGCTCATGTTTCTGAGGGTGAAGAGGAACGAGAGGAGGGCTCTTTAGTGCGTAAGCCTCGAGCTAAGAGACGTGTTATTTCGGATGATGAAGCCACTCCTCCTCCAAGTTCAGTTCCTGTGAATGAGCCTGAAAGTGCCACTTTGGTGAGCTCTGATGAAGAGATGATTGCTGCACCTCGTAACTCTACAGAGCAGTTGTTTTCCCATGGGTTTGATAGCGAAGATTTTGGCTTAGTTTCTGATGAAGCACCCCTTGCCTCCTTTCCAGTGTCTGTTCCTATTGGTTCTCAGTTTCCCGCGCCTGTTGTTGCTGCCACTGCTCCTCCCATGGCTAATTTTACTTTCTCAACTATCCCTATTGCTACCACTTCTCATGTTGAAGTTGGTTCTCCCAGTAGCAGTAGGATGCTGAAAAAAGTTACCATTAAAGTCCCCGAGGATGGTAATCTTTTGAAAAAGTCTGGCCAAGCTGATGTATGGCTAAAACCGCTGATTGGCCCAATTGAGAAGTCTAAATTGGAAAACCATGGCTCTTTGACATGGATGAATGACATTGTCCATTCATCTTTAAAGGTATAAGCCTTAGCTTTTTATTTTACATGTGATTTCTTTATCTTTGTTTGATAATCACTTCTTCCCTTTCTTTTGTAGATCAACCTGATAGGCACAGAGCTGATGAAGAGAATTTTCAATACTGAGCAGTTAGTCAACGACTATCATACGGAAGTGGACAACTGGAAAGAATAATTTGAAGGCCTTCAGTTAGAAAAAGAAGTTTTAGATGAGGAAAAGTGTGCTTTGGAACAACAAGTGAAAATGATGGCAGCAGAATTGGCGTTTGAAAAAGCCTCTTAGTCAAGTGGGCAAGGATTAAAACCTACTTGAATCTTTATTTGCCGAGCAACTTTCTAAAGCTACTGAGAAAATTAGGGGTCTAAAAGAACTGCTTAATCAGAAGAAAGTCTATGCCGGGGAGCTTGTTCAAACGCTCACTCAGGCGCAAGAAGACCTCCGTGCATCTTCTAACAAGATCCAGATCTTAGAGAGATCACTCGCCCCTTTACAAACTTTTTATGATGCTGCTTTGACTGAAAACGCAGAGTTGGAGGCCGAAATTGAGCAATGGAAGAGGGATTATGAGGCCCTTGAGGATAAATCAATTCTTGATGTAAGCTGGGCTTTCTTGAACATGCGCCTCGAGACTTTGATTGAGGCTAACTAGGATAGTTTCGACTTGACTGTTGAGATTGCAAAAACTAAGAAAACCATTGAAAAAACTCAGCAGAGTCAAAACTTTTCTTCACCTGAGGTCGGTATTCCCGGGGGTGAAGAACTTACTTTTGGTGAAGTTAGTGTTCAAATCTCTCCTGCTCAAGTCGAACCTTCTGCTGCTGATGATGATGCCATCTTGACTTCTCCCGCTGCTGATAGTACTACTTTAGAATCTGCCCCATAGTGAACTTGTGTCTGAAAAGTTTATTGTGTTTGTTTTTTATTTGTGGAATGGTTGGCAAGCTTTACCCCTGATATATTTTGGGGTTTAATATCAAATACTTTGGTTTGAACTAAGTTTACACTTAGTTTTAACCGGGTTTATATAATATTTCATTTTGAATTTTTGTTTTACTCTTATAATATTTTATTTTGAGTTTCTGTTCTACTCTGCATTTAATAATGCTTCAATACTCCGTGGCTTCTTGAACAAGCATGAATTATAAAAGAGGGCCCTTTTATAAACGACACTTAATGAAGAAGACGTCTCAACTTCATAATGGTGTAAACATACGAAAGAAGAAATAGGAACACACACGCTTCTTTGAATAACTTTGAGGAAGTTTTGTATCATTCAAACTTTCAAATTGTATAATACTTTACACGTATTTAAGTATCATCTATAACTCTTTCGTAACTGTTTTCTTTACAAAAGATTTTATAAAATTCAAGGGTATATCTTGCAACCCATGACTAAATATTTTCTTTAACCTAAACATTCGTAAGATTTTGGAATTTACATCCATGAGTGTATTCTTCATAGGTTTTTGAATCAGGCTTGCGTTTTTGGCTCTTGATTTTGCTCTTAACTTTCGATTTGTTGGGTAGATCATAGACTTCACTTGAATTCTGACTTTTTCAGCCTTCTTTGCCTTCCTTATATATATATATATATATAGTCCCCCAAGTATTTGAGCTTTGAAGTATGAAATCTCGAGCACTTGATTATTCCTTCCATGTGGTCCGTTTCCTGAAAAGGAAAAACATACGGGACTCGGAGGTATATATAATTTAGATGATGACTGCTTAACCCTTTATATTTCTATTAGAAAGGTTGCAACCTTAGACCGGGAATAATGTTGCTTCCGTGTGTCCTTCAGATCTAATATCATCATTTGGTGTGTGCTAGCTTTTTGCCTATCATCTAAAATTGTTAGTATAATTTTAACTGTACAAAATAAAAATCGTAATTGAACGATACCTGACCGTGGGTATTTCTTTCGCTCAGAATCGTAATTTTAACTCTTCGTTCCCTTTTATGACAGAATCATTATGAGCATTAATGACATTAATGAAACGTTATAATTGGCAACCGTAACTGTTCATGAAGATTTTGTAACGGTTTTGATTCTTCTTCCACATTAATTTGAGGTTCATGAATCTTTCCTCTTTACTGTCTTGATTCATCCTGCATGTGTCTCTTCACTGAATAATTTAGGCTCAGGAAACCGTACCTTTTCGTCTCGTGAGTGATTTGCTCGAACCTGTTGTAAATTGCGACTCTTTTAATGCGACACCCCAGTTGTCATCTTCTTAGTAATCCACGTATCTTGCCCTGTCATCCTCATATAATTTCACATGTAATATTTATTTTTTACCAATACAATTAGCATACCAGATCGGCTTGAAACTCACTGAAAAAACGAGCGTAGGCTTGGGTTCAGAAGTTCATTCTCCCCGACCAAATAAGCACTTACACCGTCTTCTTTTAATATTTTGACAATTCAGTAGCGTGTAATGCTTTCTTGAAAACCTCTCTTACCTCAGCCTGCGTACTGTAATACGGCTATTGTCACAAGGTTATGTTCCTGGCAAGCAGGTTATGAACTTAAATATCCCATCAAGGAACAGTTCGTCTCCGAGGGCCAGCTGGCGCATGGTCTGAAAATGGGTGGCTAATGGGCTCAATCTTCTTTTCTTCTCCACTTAAATATTAGATTGTTTTTCGCTGTAGAGATTCGAGCTTGTGACATGTGTCTAATCCTCACATAATGTGTTGCTCATGTCATTGAACCAAAGTCCTGTGAAGCGTAGGGTTCAATCTTCAATGCAATGGCTGAAGCAGCAAAATTCTTTTGCTGGTTTCACTCAGCAGTCTCTGAATGGGAGTAATGTTTCCCATTTCAATTCTTGTTAAACCATGGAGTGCTTAATATTATTGCCATGTGGACTGCTTTAATTATGTCTAGGTGTTAGTTCCAGTAAATAACAGGAAGTTAAGTAAGGATTGTTGTAAGAAAAATGACTACCGTGTATAAGTTAAGGAAGTCATTTTCCCTTTGATGGATTTTTTTCGTTAACGAACACGAAATAATGACTTCCTCATACAAAGTTTCCTAAGAATTACAACGTCAGATATTGATAAAATTCCAAGATGACAATATAATGTTCAATGATCAGGAGGAAGACGAAACAACATCAATGGCACAACCCAGTGGCCAAGCTGCTCCAACAATGTAATTCCTGTATTTAACATCATGCACCACTGTGATCTCTTGTTTGGGATGCAGGCCTGCCAATTTTTTAAAATAATGGNAGTTAAAAGAATTAAAATAATGGACTTAAGAATTTTAACTTCAAGAACATTAACTGTTATTTCATAATTAATTAATGATCTAATTAAGAATTAACTTACCAAATCCATTAACTAGCAAAGCGTACTCGTATACCAAGTCCATGCAGATATATGGTACATTTCTCTCACCGATGTTAGGAAATACTGATTTTATGTCTTTCACTGAGGTCTTGCAAGCAAGCTTTGCTGCATTTAGGTATTGTATTGGTTTAGCTCTTCCAGAGGGCTTTTTGGGGTCAATAATGCCAACCTGAAAATGCAGAATTAATTAATCACGTCAGAAGTAATCGAAAGAAATTCTATAAATAAAATTAATCACCTCCCACTAAGAGATCATAGCTAGTTCACGTTGAGAACTTAAACTAAGTAAATAAATGTGTACTCGCTACATACAACAACTTAAACTTTTAGGGAAGATTTGATTTTGTATCTTTTATAAATATTATTTTAGTTATATGATCACTTTCATAAGAGATTGTAAATTATAACACAAGAAATTTATAAAATGTATATAGGATAATTTATTTTATTCAAATTGTAAGTGGGCATGAGAGATCATTCTCTCAATTTTTGTTTTAGAGGAGACGGTCATACAGTTAAACAGTTCAAGTCACACTAGAGAAAAAATTGGACAGCCGTGACCCTTTTGAGTAAGGCCTAAGGGATTTGTTTGTTGAAAACAAATTTAGTTAAGGATGAAAAGGAGCCACTAGTTTCTAAAGCAAATAAATAAATCCAACGAAGTTGAATTGGTTTTTAAAAAAATAAAAAGAAAAACATGTTTATTTCATAAGTAAAGTTTCTTACCATAGCTGCATAATCATAGAAGAAAGAAGAAGCATAGAGATTCTTGTATCCATCTCCACCTCCACCATTCCAAACCCCACCAAAAGTACACTTCTTGTGGTTGCAGGGTGCCTTAATCTTCAGTGCCTTTTTAGTTAATGTCTTACATTTCTTCAAGCTTGAACCATTTCGTGGTGATGATGCTTTGTATGCCACCCCATTGTATGTGTAGTAACCTCAAACAAATCATAGTTTTATGTTAAAAAGAAAAATTAACTTAAATAGCTGTTCACCCAACCGGTAAAACAAAAAATATCTGGCGGAAGTATAATCCATGTATAATATATGTAGTCATGTATAATAGTGTATACTAGCTATGTAAAAGAAATAATGAACACGAGTCATGTATAATAGTGTATACTAGCTATGTAAAAGAAATAATGAACACGAAAAGGAGAAAAATGTACTTCCCTCACTTATAGGCAAAAATTATTTTTGACTATCTCAACTATTAACTTCATATTGCTGCTCCAACCAATAGTCAAAAAGTATCATAAAAACACTAGTATTTAATTTGCTAATATCATTATCAATATTTTGTTTTTTTGGAAAATCTTTTTCACTCTCTAATCAAACACATTGAAAACATTTTTCAGGTAAATAATTTTGAGATTATTTGAAAGGTAGTTTTTGAAAAATGACTTCTGCCGTGCGAAATGCAACAACAAATATAAAGCCTTTAGATGACTAAAAAGTATAGGAACTATAGAAATAAATATTTGAATATTGTTGAGAACCAACAGAAAAAAAAAAGAATAAATAATGACTTTCGTAGTTGCTCATTGAGAATTCCGAATGTCTTTTACTCAAGTAAGTTTGTCAAATTCAAAACGTAGAGGGACTTGATAGTACTTGTGAAAAAGTAGTAGAAATATTTCGTGAAATAAGGAGACCAAAAAAAAAAAAAAAAAAAGCAACTGGAAAATACACATGATCCAACTAATGAACTCCAAACCCACAAAATAAGTCTAATGTGTATAATATATTGGGGTTAATTTGTAACTTATGAGACAAGTGAGAGGTTAGAGACCACTAATCTTACCATTATAACCTCCCAAAATGCATGGACTACTTGATGAGTTTCCAGAAGCTTTGAAAATCTCTTTTCTAGCTGCTAATTGACCATAGTTCAAATAGCTACAAACAAATCATATTAGGTATAAAACAATAAAAAGTGTATTAGTTTAAGAAAAATAAGAATTAATTTACTAAAGTTACCTGTGAACATAGAGGTGATAATTAGCCCCCAAAAGAGATTTATTTAGGACATAAGGCTCTCCATTTGCTACTTTGGGAGCCTTTGAAGCACTTTCTTTTGAGATGGCATATGTCATTTGCACTGATCCACCTCCTAGATCAATTGTAGCTATTGTTCTTTCATACTTTTTACCCAAATTTCCTAGTAAGTAATTTAAGGCAACCTGTATCCGATATAAAAAATAACATGTAATTATAGTAATATTGAATACCCATTCCATCCCAATTGAATACTATATTTTTCAAAAAATAATTTCCGTTACATAGGGGGATAATGGAAGAATAAGGGGGATGGGAACAGTGAAAATTGAATTCATAACTATTGTGTGTGAGACTTCTACGATAACAATTGATATGCGACTTACCCAAAAATAAGAACCTTCTTGGGTACCATCAAGAACTGAAACCCATTCTGCCTTGTAACTAAGACTAGTTTCATTCTTGAATAAATCCCTCACCTTAACCAGACAAAAATAGATTTTGAATTAGTATAATGGAGGATAATTTTTCTGAAGATTTGTTCTAAAATTTATAAAAAAATGAAAAGAAAAAGAAAAAGGTAAGAAGCTCATATATACCGCTTGCAATATTTTTGCAGCAGCATCTCCTTTTAATAACCTCAAACCAGCAGTTGCCTGTATTTATGTTTAGACATTAGTATTTCATAATATTTTGGAGCAAAAAGAAAGAGAGAAGCAATTTGAGAATTCTATATCAATAATGGAAAAAAACCTCTGTTTGTGAAGGAAATATAAATAAATAAATAAATAGAGCTTATTACTCACTCCAAGTTTAAGGGGTGTTTCAGGCTGCAAATCTTTAGGAACAACACCTTCAGCTTTGTCCAAAAGAGGCTTTAAAGAAAGTGCTGCAGCATTTGGATCATCTGCATATGAACTTAGACCTGGATTTATCTGCATGCCCAACATAATAATTTTAATAATCAGAAAATTCGGAAACAGATTCAGCATTTTAATTCCTTGGTTCAGGCCCCTGGTTTTAACTACTAAACCCATCTACTTGTTTGGTTATGATTTTTAGTTCAATATTTTCAACAATATTATTGTATTTTACATAAATAAATCTAGGTGCAGGCTAAATATTGTGGATTCAAATGAACTATATAACTATACTACTGGATACACCCTGACAAAAATTACGAACAAAATTAATGCTACAGGGACTAAACTAAACGATATATAATTGAAAAGTCTTTTAGCTGTATTTGAATCAAGCACTAGCGCTCCATTCAGCCTCTAACAAGTAACAACTACGACAGGATTAAGAAATTAAATTCAAGACTACAAAAGAAGGAAAATGTCATATAATATACAAATATACAAGGGCAAATTAGGCAGATCATGATTTCTTTTTTATTTTCTAATGTTTTCTTTATATTTATATAATTTTAATTGTCATTCTCAAGTATCAAGACTGCCACTCTCAGTAATTGTTCATAATAAGTGAAAGGAGACGTACCGCGAGGAAGTATTCAATGTCATTACCAATTGGAAGTAGATCCAAGTTATGGTCAAAGCGAAAGACATGGACTCTACTGCCTGTGCTACCAGCATCAAATATCACAGCATAGTGCTCTGATTCATGGCTAAAAAGTAGCCTTCTAACTTTAGATGACGCAGAACACTGAGGCAATACTAAAAGTTTCAACAAGAAGAAGAAGTAGAAGATTATGAAGTGAAGAGGAAAACTGGTTTGCCTCTTCATTTTTTCCTTTTAGCTTAGAGCTGTTTGACATAGCATAAACAAGTAGTAGTGTTGTTTATATAACAAAAAAATAAATGTCTCTCTAATAGCGGACCAATGTTTTACTAATTAATTTATTTCTGAAGTACTTTCAACACGTTTTTCGTGTTGGCCTGAGAAAGGGGTAGGTGAAGGATGAAATCATAGCGCTTCTTCTTTTTTGAAAAACATTAGTACTATTGGAATCTTTTTTATTTCTTTAACCATCTGCATCCAATGCATACTGCCTGACTAATATTTTATTCCCACGCAATGCAGGGCCATTAAAGGCAGGCAGCGCTCTCTTTTAAGGATTTCTGGCTCGAACTCCAGATCTCATAGTTATATGAGGGTGATCTTGTAACAACCCAACCGTTTCGTAATTTCGTGTTCCAAATTGTGTTTTCAGCAATGCCTATATGTTGGTATTCTGAATTATGACTTGTTGAGATGGTTTGGGTTGAGACCTGAGGAGTTGCTTCAAATCAATGGGCCAGGCCGTGATCGCCGAGGAAGGGGACTTAAAATATTTATGCCAATAATTCGATATTAGAATACTCTTATGCTTGCTTTAGATTCTATATTAAACTGTTGGGTTTTAAGCCTTAAAAATAGAGTGAATGGGAAATGAGGGGAAAAATAAAAATTTTGAATTTTTCTCTTTGACAAAGGGACATTGTCCCATATTGGAGGAGGAAAAGAGTTTTGATGAGTATATATACAATTGCACTTCTTCTAGTTCTTAAAGAGTTGAGAAGAAGACAATCCTCAAACGTCGCCGTCGTCGTCGCTCGACTCGGCTTCGACTTCGGCTAAATGTAATAGTTGTTCACAATAATAAAATTTCAACTTTTTCTTACTTACTTGAGTCAAATAATTTATGGCATATATATTTGGGACATGTCAATAATAAAACCTTGTGAAAAATAATTAATTTGGAAAGTATTGCCTAAGTTTGAATACGACAAATCAAAATGTCAAATATGTGTGGAATCTAAGTATGTTAAACATCCTTATAAGACAGTTTTGCAAGATGAAGCAATATACGCATTCAATCAATACAAAAATGAAGTTGAAACGCAACTTAACAAGAAAATCAAAATGATAAGAAGTGATAGGAGTGGTGAATACGAATCTCCTTTTGAAGAGATATGTTTAGAATATGGAATTATTCATCAAACAATGGCCTCGTACACGCCCCAATCTAATGGGATTGCAGAAAGAAAGAATCGATCATTAAAGAAGATGATGAACACTTTGTTGATAAGTTCTGGTTTGCCACATAAATTGTGGGGGAAGCTATTCTTACGACTAACCGGATATTAAATCGAGTACCCTATAACAAAACACAATCCGTTCCATATGAAAAATGGAAAGGAAGGAAACCCAACTTGAATTATTTTAAAGTGTGGGGGTATTTGGCAAACGTGCAAGTTCCTAAACCTAAAAGGGTAAAGATAGGACCGAAAACCGTTGATTGTGTTTTCATAGGATATGCAACAAATCGTAAAGCATATCAATTTCTGGTTCATATAAGAAAATTCCGACATTCATAATAATACGGTTATAAAATAAGATAATGCTGAATTTTTCAAAAATATATATATATCTGTATAAAAAGGAATGTGAGTCAATTGGTGAAGAATCTAAACGACCTCGGGAGGAAACAAAAGAAAGTACGTATAGTCAAGAGGATCCAAGACGTAGTAAACGTCAAAGAACATCTACTTCATTTGGACCAGATTTTGTGACATTCTTATTGGAAAATGAGCCTCGAACATTTAAAGAAGCCATGTCTTCTTCTGAATCATTATTTTGGAAAGAGGCAGTCAATAGTAAAATAGAATCTATACTGAACAACCATACATGGGAATTGGCTGATCTTTCTCCAGGCAATAAACCGTCAGATTCTAAATGAATTTTTAAGAGAAATATGAAAGATGATGGCACTATTGGCAAATATAAGGCAAGACTTGTGGTCAAAGGGTATAGACAACGAGAAGGTCTTGACCATTTTGTTACATACTCTCCAGTTACAAGAATTACATCCATACGAACGTTAGTAGCATTAGCTGCGGTATATGGTCTTGAAATTCATCAAATGGACGTTAAAACAACCTTCTTAAATGGAGATTTGGAGGAAGAAATTTACGTGGAACAACCTGAAGGGTTTGTGGTTCCAGGTAAAGAAAAGAAGGTATGTAGACTTGTTAAGTTACTTTACTGACTAAAACAAGCACCCAAACAATGGCATGCGAAATTTGACCAAATAATATTGTCAAATGGTTTTAAGATTAATGAATGTGATAAATATGCGTACATTAAATTTTTTACAAATCACATAGTCATTGTTTGCTTATATGTGGATGATATGCTGATAATGAGTAATGATATTACCAACATAAATGCGACTGAGCGTATGCTAACTAGCAAGTTTGATATGAAAGATTTGGGAGTTGCCGATTTAATTCTGGGTATAAAGATCCATAAGACTTCTCAAGGTCTGGCATTGTCGCAATCTCATTACATTAAAACAGTACTTGAAAAATTCAAGTACTTAGATTTTAAAGATGCAAAGACTCCAATTGACGTAAATCTTGCACTTGCAAAGAACAAAGGCCAAAGCATATCACAATTGGATTATGCTCGTGTGCTGAGATATTTAATGTATATCATGAATTGTACTCGACCAGATATAGCTTGCGCTATAAGTAAATTGAGTCGATACACGAGTAATCTAGGTCAATCTCATTGGATGGCGATGAAACGAGTTTTGGGATATTTAAAACATACCCAAGACTTTGCTTTGCACTACAGTAATTATCCTGCGGTGATTGAAGGACACTGTGATGCAAATTGGATCACCGGTTCAACTGATTCTAAATCTACAAGTGGATATATATTCACTATTAATGGAGGAGAGGTATCTTGAAAGTCGTCCAAACAAACTTGTATTGGCCGCTCTACAATGGAGGCTGAGTTTATAGCCTTAGATAAAGCCAGTGAAGAAGCTGAATGGCTCCGAAATTTCTTGGAAGTTATTCCATTTTGGCCCAAACCGTTGGCACCAATATGCATACATTAAGATAGTCAAGCGACAATTGGAAGGGATGGGAGTGTTATGTATAACGGTAAATCTCGTTATATACGACGAAGACATAAAACCGTTAGGCAGCTACTCTCTGGGGGGATTATCACAATTGACTACGTAAAGTCAAGTGATAATGTGTCGGATCCACTTACAAAAGACCTAACTAGAGAGGTAGTTGAAAGATCTTCGAGGGGAATAGGACTATGGCCGAGGACAAGTCATTGTGGTGGTAACTCTACCTAGAAGACTGGAGATCCCAAGATCTAGGTTCAAGGAGATCAAACAAAGACATTAATGATGGTTCAACATTATCAACAAATGTTTTGGTCCATTCTCATGATGAGACAATGTTCAGTACCAAGGATAAAGCATTAAGGCTTTTTAATAGTTTCTAAATTTGATACAGGGTATATCAACGAGTGTATCTACGGGATGACACGTTTAGGAATCACCTATGTAAGTGTGAAGTGTTAGCCGCTTCAAGGAGAATTTTGCAAGGCCAGTTCTCTACGCACTTATGAAACTAGGCGGTGTTCATGGCTGAAACGAACACAACAATGAGAACTAAAGACGGTTAAGGGTTAGTTGTGTTACTTATGGTTGTTTATGTATACACCAAAGTTCAACGGTTCAAAGATATCAAATCTACCGATTGATCGAGTATATCCGACATACGTTTACTACGAAAAATTCAAAGGGAAACCTATTTATCCAGATGCGATTAATCCTTGCTTGTAAATTACACAGATTTTCATACATATTTTTGTGATATAGCCATTCCACATTCATGTGGGGGATTGTTGGGTTTTAAGCTTGTTAGAGCTTAGAAATAGAGTGAATGGTAAATGGAGGGAAAAATAAATTTTTTTAATTTCCCTCTTTAACAAATGAACATTGTCCCATATTGGAGGAGGAAAAGAGTTTTGATGGGTATATATACAATTGCACTTCTTCTAGCTCTTAAAGAGTTAAGAAAAAGGCAAGCCACGTGCCGTCGTCGCTCACTCGTCTCGGCTTTGGCTTCGCATTTGGTCAAATGATTTGATTGATTGATTAATTTTTTGGACCAAATTTATTTGTTAATATTAACGCAATATTATTTAATCCAAATTAGACCGTTTTTGTAAAGGTAATTTAAATTTTTCCTTAATTTTAATTTTCCCGTTATAATTTGAATTTGGCGGTTTGCGTAAATGGCCGTTTTATATAACAACCATTTTGAGTTGCAACCTTACATGAAGAGTTGCAACTCTTCGGTATTACCCAATATTTTGTCTATAAATACATTAACTCTCCCTCAGATTTTCCTTAGGAAAATTCTGATTTCTCCTTCTTCCTTCTGCATTGTTTTTAACAGAAAATAAAGCAGTAAGTATGATTTGCTACTGTTCTTTGAGTTCATTGGTCACTGGGGTTTGAAGTACCGCTACACCAGTGAGGGTAATCTCTTCTATCATGGGAGAAAATAGTCGTAAACCTCGGGTACTAGGAGGGGATTAAGTTCCTTAAGGAAACACTGCGAATTCAGTGGGCTAAGATTAATTCTATTCTTCTACGTTTCTGGTTTTACATTGTTTCTGCCTTTGAATATATTTTCAAATACAGATTACTAACAAGCTTAAGGAACTTAATTTTTATTTTTCTGTATTCATCTTATATTCTGTTTGTGGGAGAGTAAATCCTAGTGATTTCTACTCCTTGGTTGAGATTAAATTCTTTGTGACTTTCTACCCAATTACGAGATTAAAATCTTTGAGATTTTCTACTCGTGTTTACTCGGTTTGAAGATATAAAATCTTCACCGTAGTATTTAATCTATTTCTGTTAGAGTTTATTTGGTTCGAAGATTTTAAATACTTCACCGTTAATTAATTTTTCTGTTTTGTGACTAACAGAAATGATAGAAACA